TCATTATTATTTTTATCGCTATATGCCGTTAAATTTAAATATTTAAGTATTCCCCTTAACCTTAAACGCTTAATTATAGTTATATCCATTGATCCGTTCCAAAATACTATTATTGGTTTCCTTTTAGGTATGTTTAAATATTTTTGAAGATAAGTCGTAGACAAAGTTGAGGCCCCCTGCATGTTAACACTTAGGTATAACTGTTCCAACAATGGTGTCATCAATTCTGTCTTATGCCGAAATATCCTCTTAATGTTTTGCACAACGGTGTTTAGGTCACAGCGCCAGAACCTTCTCAACTTATCATCCTTAGTAAGTACGATAGGTATTCCCTCAAGCTTTACAGGCTTATATTTGTCTAAGCTGTTTGATATGGCGCCGGACACTAATAGTATGTCATTTTTATTAACCATAGTGAATTCAAAATCCACTATGAAGAAACGAACCTGGGAACTAAAACAAATTATTTATATTAAATTCAATATGTTAAAATGTGAAAAAGAAATATAGTAGCTAGCTTTTATACTACTATGTTTATGTTTAGTCATTGTTTAGTGCCAATAATCGTGACTGAATTAATTGGTCTATGATCGTGCCTACTGTCAGGCATACAGATTGGTCTGGATCCGCATCATCCACAATTGTGTGTATGAATGCTGTCACTGGTGTCATAATCAAATTTAGTACTCTATCCGTCAGTGGTGCTGTCATTTGGTTATTTGCGTTCAATACGTGTTGCCCAAAACAACCCAGTATTATAGTATCACCCTCTACTGTTTGTAGGTGTGTGCCAGTCAGTAGTTCGTTTTTTAATTCTCGGAAAAAATCAATAGCTTGTAGCGTCAGGACGTATAAGTAGTCCCTCGGCGTGTTATCCATTTTAGATATATTTGTTTTGTTTTTTTTTTTTTATTTATTTATACTGATTTCTTCTTATTTTCTGCAACATAATTACTCATTACTTATTTGACTAGATTTTATACTTATTATTCTGATTAATACACATTTTCTTTTTTTTTTTTTATTATTTATTTTTATTTATTTATTTTATTTATTTCATTTAATATTATTTTATTTTTTTTTTTTATCTTGGTGATGGTGGCGGTGTTAATGGTGTGTCCTCAAATGCTCTCACGTAATCAGCGGTTCTGTATTTTACTAGCCTCCTAGGTATATCTACAACTTGACGATTACTTACGTATTGACATTTTATTACTACATATATAGCTACTATTAAAATTATGGATATTGTTGCTAACACAATAGTGACATATAATAAGTTAGAATGGACAAACTGATGTTTTTGATTTTGTTCTCTTGCTTCTTCGTTATAAACAGGTTGACTGCCATGAGACCCTTATGTGGGTCACATGATGTTTGTCAAAATGTTTTTGAGATAATTAATGATTTTGTTAATTCTGTTTTTGTCATAACTTATCAAATGATCTTTTGATAATTTTTTGCAAAATTGGTATTATATAGTTAATGGTCTTCTAATATAGAATTTAACCATTTTTTTGGTGTGACCCACGGGTGTGTCTCACAAACTTTTTGGCAAGACTTTAATGATCCCTTAATGAAAAAAGTAGGTAATATAATATAATAAAACCAAAACACATTTTACAAATTCATTTTATTTGTATAGTAATTGATAACTTGTTTCATAATAAAAGCAACATAACATTATAATAACAGTATAAAATAAAATAAAAAAATATTAATCTTTTGTTATTGTAAACAGTCTTGTTTCATAAAAAATCAACTTAACATAATAATAACAATAAAAAATAAAATAAAATAATATTAACTCTTTGTTAGTTTAGTAAATAGTCTTGTTTCATAAAAAAAACATTAAAACATAATAATAATATAATAATTTAACAGTTTAGGTAGGTAATAATAATCAGTCTATGTTTTGTGTAATACAAAAAAGCAAGGAACATATAATTGTTTGTTGCAAATAAAACATTTTGTTGTGACTTTTTTACAGTGACTTTGAGAATATTTTCTTCCTTTTTCTTGAGCAATATTCAAGTAACATTGAACACATCTGTTTCTCGAGGCTGTTGTGAGTACATGTTTGTTTGATAGTTCTTGATTCATATTGGGTTTGAATGTCAGATATTTTATCAAATTTGATCTAAAATCAGTAATTTTAATGTGTGTTGCAGTTGTTTTTTGAAACAAACATAAAGCATTTACAACTGATGTATTCAGAAGAAGTTCAAATACCACCTTACGATACCATTTTAATGATTTTCTAAGAGGTGACCCATATGAAGCCATTTGATCAGAAAGATCAATAAAAGACTTACCTCTGTTATAATCTAATACTACTTCTGGCTTTGATTTATTTTCTCTTCTTGGAACCATAACCATATTATCTGTATGTTTTGTGCTTAACATGTGTAAATCTCTTTTATCTTTAAATTTTAATACCATAACTTTAGATGAACTTTTTTGAGCTATTACTTGACCCTTTTTAAATTTTTTTTTGATAACATAGTCAGGATTATACTTTCTATTTGAACGGAGTGTTCCAACTAAATGTGTTTTTCGTTCAAGAAGTTGATGTGCTAAGGAAACACTAGTATACCAATTGTCTACATAAAGTGTGCGCCCAAAATCTAAATACTCGTCTATAAGATTCATAACAATTCTGGATGAAACACTATCATTTTTGTCAACCACAGATTCTTTACCAGAATAAATCTTAAACTTGAGTGTGTAGCAAGGACTAACACACAGTTTAAAAACTTTAACGCCATACCTATGTCGTTTTGTTTGAATATATTGTTTAAAAACAAGGCGTCCTTGAAAAGCAATCATTGATTCATCAATACACATATCATGTGTTGGAATAACCCATTGTTTAAACTTTTGATTTAACAAATCTAAAATATTTTGAATCTTATAAAGTCTGTTATTTAGGTTAGCGACATCATTATTTTGAAAATGTATGTGAGATAATAGTAGTTCAAATCGGTTACGACTCATAATATGGCTTAAGTGAGAAGTTAGCAAATGAGACGATGTCCAATAACTAGCAATAGTTGGCATGTTTACTGTACCCATATACATTATGATTCCAAGGAAATTTTTTATTTCTGATTCGTTGGTGTCAATCCATTTTTGTAATCTAGAATGTCTTTTTATATTTGGTGAAGCTAACTTTTTATTTGCATACCTGTTTGTTTCTGTGACAATTAATGATATAACTTCATCATCAATAAATAAATAATAAAAATCAATAGGTGTTCCGTTGTTAAGTGTACATAAAATATCATCATTAATTCCAATATCTAATCCATCAGGATTAAATGTAAAATCATGTAAATCATTATCTGCTGGGCCCCATGTCAATTTTTTTAAATCTGGTAGAATATTTGTTGATGTTTGGGTTGGTATATCAACATTTGAGTCACCCTAAATGCAAATTTACGTATAATAAATAACAAAATAATTCATCTTCTTAAAAATAAAATTATACTTCTGAAATGCCTTCTGGATCTATATCTGAATCACTTTCTGAATCACTGAATCCTACAGGATTAAAATTTGGATCAGAGTCAGTATCGTCCATTGAAAATAATGACTCGTCATAACTCTCATTGAGGGCATTAAAAATATCATTAGAATTCATATTTATGAATAATAATATATAATAAAAATATTAAAAATAAATAAGAGTATAACAAAATAAAAATAATTAATAATAATAACTGTTATTATTTTACATTTTGACTTATTTTATCTATATGATATGGTGAGACTAGAGGTGGTAAAGAATAGCAGTAGCAGCTGTAATAGCAGTGCTATTTTACTATAGCAGTAGCAGCTGCTAATCCAAAACCAAAATAACAGTGACTGCTATTTTCTTACCTACACTGAATTAAAAATAATATGATAAAATGATAATATGAAATAAATGTGAAATGTGATATTTATCACGTGCCGTGTCACTAGGTAAACTGGTGGTAAACTGCTATTAAATAGCAACTACTATAGTCACTAACTAGGAGGATGTAAAAAATAAATCATAATTCTTTTAAAGTTTAAACATGATTATAAAAGTATTTTATTTTACTATTTTCTTATATTTGTGAGTGAAAAAATGAAAATAACAACAAGTTTGAAGACACAGAACAAATTAAATAATCATAATAACAGTTATGAATGTATGGATTCTGAAGACATAGATAATGGTACATTCCGCACAGGATTGTCGTCGAGTAATTCGAACATGTTGCCTTTACAATGTTCAGCAAATATTGGAAACATACCGACAAACGCAAAACAAGTAAGGTGTGAATTTATGAACTACTTTAACACTGATGGACAAGTACCTTGGCAGCATAACTTTATACATTAGAATATTTACTGAAAATTGTAATTTAAAAATTGAAATGTAACTAAAAAAAAATGTATTTTTTTTAATCTTATTGATATTTACATATTTATTTTGTTTATGAACTTATTGCTTATTACTTATCGGAAGGTCCTATGTAATTTTTTTTAATAATATTTAATCGTTTTTAATATCAATATAATGTGATTATTCATCAAACCAAAAATAGTTTTTATATGATTAATGAATATAATTTTGATTTTTTTTTCAGTTACGATAATATATAAAAATAAATAAAAAATATAAAAATATGCTATATAAAATAAATTTTAATCAAATATAAATAAAATGTACCTCTCTTTCATCAATGTTAGAGAATGAGTTTCTTGGTGTCTCTTGATCGCTTAGAAAGTCGAACAAGTTGTAGTACCAAAGACTTGACGTTCTCACGGCGCGTGTTGGAGCCACACTGGGACTAGATGCTGATATTCTGCCTTTGACGGGGGTTGAAAATCTTCCGCTTTCACCCTCCTCCTTACGTTTCCTGCGCTCTTCAAATCTTACGTCGATTTCGTCTCTGGTCATGAGAGTGGCGAAGTCGGGCAACACCACATCGGAGCTCAGCGCAGCGTCATGCGCCGGGCCGATCTCCTTTGTGGCGCAGTACAACGTCGCATCAACTCCGTCAAAAAGCGACAACCGAGCCATCACACCTTTTACCACTTCGAATGCAACGCCCTTCGATCTCTTAGGGTTGATCGCTTTAACACTAGAATCAGTCAATCTCAAAATTATGTCTTTCTCTATAATATATACAGTTATCGCGCTAAACTCCTTGGTAATCATGTCAATATCATTCCTATTCTCGATCCTGGTCTGTACGTTGAACTCTATCTCTTCAATCTTGTCATTCACCATCTTAATTGCGTAGGTAAATGCCGCGTAGCAAAGACGTCGTGCTCTTGTCGTATATGTAAAATATGTTTACAGAAATTCTCGAAGCCATCTTAGAAATCGGGGACTCTTTTTATAATATAATATTATTATAATTATAATTATTTGTATTTTGCGGCGAATATTGATTATTTTGCATATTATTTCTATTATTTCGATTCACATCCGGTCTATATTGCGGTCTAATAAAATTATTATTATTCCCTCTCGGATTAAAATTTTGTCGCTGATAATTATTATTATTGAAATTATTATTATTTTGTCTGCGGTTATTATTATAGTGATTATTATTCTCAAAATTATTATTATTACGTCGGTTATAATTATTATTATTATTATTGTTATTATTATTATTATTTCTATTTTGATTACCATAGTATTGATATGCATCCGACTCTGATTTCAATTCGGTTTCTTCATCTTTGGCTATTTGCATTGCCAATTCTAAAGTAGGTGGATTACGTGATTTTACTATTGTTTTTAAACTAGGTGTTAAACCTTTTATTAATACTACCAATGTTTGTTCTTTTAGTTGATCCCGTAAAACTGTGGCTTGATCCGTTGTTTTGCCTTTAGTACTAGCTACGCATAGGTTAAAATACAATTGTTCTACTCGTCTAGCATATGAACTAACGTCCTCGTTTGGTCGCATACGTATGGAATTTAATGCTACCTGTAATGTCGACGTTGAACTTTGTGGTTCGAACGCGTCCAATAAAATTAATTTCACTCCTTCCCAATCGGACATATCCCTATACCTACATACGTTTAAAGCCTGGTCAA